ATTTTGGCATTTGTGGTCGGATCTTTAAATATGGTATATCAATGTTTTTGTCTCATGGAGACAACTTTTTTGTTCGAAAGTTTATCGGCCTAAAGTACTCGCTCCTCTAGTACTTGCCCACCAGATCTCAAATCTTATTGCCCTCAAGTACCATCAACATCAATAAACTTTAGCTAAGTTACTTAAAATGTAAAAAGCGACTTCTCGGTTCGACCAAAAAATGTCTTTCCCAAATTGCCTTGAAGAATTACTTTAGATTTAGGGGAGTACGGTCAACTTTGTTTTTGTTTGCTTGTAAGGTGGTGCGGTCTAATGTGCATTAGGATGGTGCGAAAAAATATACCCCTTTATTATTTTGAAATCAAAAAATATTTAGATCCGTTCAGAGTTTTCCATGTATTTATATGGGCAAAAAATTTCGTGAAAATGGTATAGAATTCATGAAAATCAATATTTTCCTATCGAAAAGCCCTGTATCTCTTCAAGTGACTTCCAGTTATAATACCCAATTGCTTGTTTTACAATTTTTCAATGCTAATAAGTTTTTATTGGTCCCCCATTGCATATTTTGGATTTTTTTTTAAAGGGAACTATAAAAAAGTTACTACTAAAAAATGGTTGAATAAACAATTAGTATTATTATTGGAAGCTTCTGAAGGGAAACATAGTTTTCCGCTCGAAAGAATGTTGATTATCTAGCATTCTAAACCATTTCTACGAAAAATGCACATACACATAAATTTATAAAAAGAATCAAGATGCATATTAAATCTGAAAATAAAGCCCAGCTAACTTTGTCTAGGTCATTTACACAGTTGAAATGCGTTACTGCTCAAATTACACAGTGCAACAGCATTTTTGGGGGCGGAATGATTCCAACTCAGACTCAATACGCGTGTAGTAAAACCTCCAAATCTTTTTGCATTCCCAGGTTAATTTTTCTATAGTAATATTAAGGTTGCAATTTTTTGTCTGAGTGTTTTTAGAATAAATGAAAAGAAGGTTAGAATTCATATCGGAATGAAATGCGTAGTTTATGTATGTACAAATATTAAAATTTCACGAGGAATAATTTTGCAGAAAATTTTAACCCATTAGGTTTCTCCTGAAAGGTCTTTTGGAAAGTCTGAATAAACTGCATATGAGAGATCGCAAGAGGACTAAATTGTTCAAGAAAATTATTCGCCCAAAAAAATTCACTAGGGGTATTCCCAAACAAAATCTTTATACATGTAACGTAGAAGTCCACAGAAAATAAAAATGTGATATTTAACCCTTTTCCACTTATTCTAAAAACACTAAAAAACAATTCATACTTAAAATGGACATAAAAAACTTTACCTGATAATGCAAAAGATTTAGCGGTTTTACTATATGGGTCTAGAATAGAGATGGGCGCCGGATATTCGGAACCCGCGTAACCAACGGTGCTGATTTCAAAATGGGCCGAGATGGGTGGTATCGGGAAGGTCCATAAAATTTTGCGGGCGGAATGGGACCAAAATTCTTTCCCGTCACACGCGATAAAATCGTAACCTCCGCAAATTCAGACAAACAACTTTAAAAATGTTGTATGAAATATGCGCTTTTTTATGTTTTATTGAGACAAAAACTAACAGCAAAATAAAATAAAATTATTGGAAAATTTTTTCCTTAAAAAATTTGTTTGAACTATGCACTTTTTTACGTTTTATTGAGACGAACAGCAAAGCAAAACAAAATAATCGGAAAATGCTAGATTTAAAATTCTTTTCTTCATTACTTAAAATTATTTTGAAAGACATGTGAATTTTTTTCATGAAAACGATTCCGAAAAACGTCGGGATGAGCGGGTTGGGAACTTAATTAATCCCGTACCCCCATCGCCAGTCTAGAAGTCTTTCATCCTGAGTTGGAATCATACCGCCCCCAGACACTGAGCCTGAAAATGTTGCACAGTGTTATTTATTATCTATGTATCTCTATGGATTCCATTGCATTGAATGCATTTTGATTAAATTTTCAGCTACTATAATTATGCTAGAACTAATAATAACATGTGACTGTGCACGAACATGAGTGACGTTTTGTTTTGTGATACTATGTTTGTTATTTTTTTTTTGTTTTTTGTTTTTTTTTTTTTTGGTTCGATATGGACAGCACTAACTTTTCAATGCAATATGTACACGCAATTACAGCAACAATTATTGTTTGCACCTATCAACATTTCATATTTAGCATTTATTTAAAAAAAAAAAATAATGTCAAATCATTATTTAGAATATATGTAGATATTTTTTTTTTGTTTTGAGGAGTTGTTTAAATCGGTTTGAGTTGGTTATGCTCAGTTTGGCAGTTAACTTCCAGTGTTAACCAGATTTTAGCGCAAATGAGGCCAATCGCTTGGAGTAAAAATAAACTTGGCCGATTGATATGCTGAACATGCATATTTATGTACACATACATACATATTTATGTGTATTTGTTTGTATGTAGACAAGTGTAGTTTACATAAAAAAAAAATAAAGTTGTTCTTCCTAAATTTTATTTTGTATTCAACTTAAATCTTAACATTCGACCGCTGCACAACTTGATTTTATAATCGTTTAAGCGTAGAAGTGGTCTAGCAATCTTGCAAAGCGGCAACAACATTTTTATACGCGCACGAGATATACAGATTGTTTAGCGTTTTCGGTAATTAATAAAAATTAGCTATTACTGTGAGTGTTTTCTAAGTACAGAAATGTTTCAAATACTTTTGATTAACATTGTGGTTGATGTGAAATGATGTCGTTGATAAGTAAAAACTGTTCTAACGGGTAGGAACCTCTTGTATAAGACTATGGGGAGTGTGTGTAACTTGTGTGGCTTTTAGCTTAGAATAAGGGATAGGACTGCTTTTGAGATATTTCACTACCCGTTTACAATTAGATATGATGTACTAAAAATATAATCGTGTGACAAAGCATCCTGAACGATAAGATTTAGTGTATGAGCGTAAAAGCTTAAACAGACGGCAGCTTTGATCCGGATTAATTCGGACTTAATCCGGATCAAGTGCAGTTAATTCCCGAGTTGAACTGGATCAACGCTGCTGTCTATTTATGCTTTAACACGACAAATGCCTTTTTTTGAGCAATGCACATGCCTTTATCATCAACAATGCGTTGTCTGTGACGACTGCTGAAATTTTCTCAAAAAATTTCAAATCGTTTAAAACAGTTCACAAGGAATCAGCAATATTCTCGCTTGTATGATCAATTTCTCTGAGCGTTTTATTTGTGGATAACACAGTTGTTCTTCACTTAAAATCTTCCGTAATAAAGTGACAAGTTACTGTCATGTAAAATAGGTTGATTCGAGAGGTCCAACCATCTCTAGTTATAGAACAAAACTTGGCGGTGTTGAGAATCGTTACCAGTTTTTTTTTGCATTTCTGTGTACATGTTTTTAAGTTGGACATTACGCAGTGTCGTCGTTCCGCTGGCCAAGTTATAACTTTTGGGTCTAAGCATTGCACAAATATCGAAAGCCGGCGTCCTCAGCTAACTGAATTTACATTTATAAATTTTAAATTTATAAACATGTGGCAATCTTAGTCAGAAAGCCAAAAAAAATATTCCAAATGTTTCATCTAAATCTGTCCAGCCCTTTCTGAGTGAAGGGAGCTGCCGCATGTTGTCAGTAGTTCATTTAATCGAACTTCAAAATCACCCTACAATTCTAAAAAATACTAGCTTCAAAAAATATATTATATACATCAATGTGCCCAGCGGTTTAATTTGACATCTCATTTTTGAAACTCGAAGTAACTATGCAGATCTGATGGTTAAAAAATGCTGTTGATAGATATAACTTTTCGAATAGATGGCAGCCCTAATCGAAATTATATTCAAACTAAAATTTTCTTAAAACTTCTACGTTTGGCCCCCATACTTTAACATTTAATTTAACTTGTGTAACTATAAGTAAAATAAATTAGACTTTTCATACAGGTGGCAACCCGCATTAAAACTATTTCCAAGCTCAAATCCTATTAAATCTCTTTTGCCTGGCATTGCCATATATATTGTATAAACATATTTTGCACCATGGAAGAATAACATTTTTTTGGGACAGCGAAATCACCATTATTTTTATATAGAAAAATAGTATTTTAATCAATGTATGTATTTGTGTTGAAGAGTTGTTTTCTTAATAACAAGAAGAGGCCAGGATATTAACAGGATACAAAATAGATTTGATCCATTATACAGATGGGTGAAGGTTGTGCCCTTGTCGGATCTTAGACTATATGTTCATATTTAGAAGAAAAACGAACGATTGGATTGGATTGGATTGAACGATTGTTTCATCCTTTGTCAAATGCAGTTAGGAGACAAGCCGATTTCGGGCTTGTGCCATTTTCAGCGCGTTTTTTTTCTCTTCAGGCATTTTTAAGAACATGAATTCGTTCAGTGTCACTGAGCTAAATTATTTCGTTGATTTTGATGGAACGACTAAGCAATCTGCGAATTATGATACATATATATGTATGTACGTATGTATGTGTACGAAATTTTATCTTATTTCTTATCACCGCACCCTTAATGCCACTCATGATAATTTTATTTTCACAGTACTTTCATATCTCTCCGCTCTGTTGCAGCTTTAATCATTAATTACGATAAACCACTACGATATCATTTACATTGTGGTTGTTATAGAAAATTACACTTAAATGCCTTGCGATAAATAATTCATAATTGTCAAAGACGCACAAGTGATAGAGGAGCTGCAATTGAAGTAAAAAAATAAATAAAAAAGCAACTTAAATTCCTTTTAATTTTTCTTTTTGATATTCTCAGATAAATTTTCTCAAATAGCTTTTAAAATTTATTTGCCCTTTAAACACTAATTAGGTTCTCTCATAGGGCAGGATATACTTAAGCACTTATTCTACTTATTTTCGTTTATGCATTTATTTGTTTCAAAGAAATATTTCATTACCTTTCCTTATTCTTTCATTTATTCTGCAACAGGTTGCAACAAGCGGCAGTGATGATAATAAAATTGCACTTCAAACTAATGCCATAGCACCAGAGCCTACACCAAGTGAAAAACCTAAAGAAGTCGATACACATAGACCACCGATAATGATTTCAGCACATGACGATGATGATCCCTATGCGCATAGACCAGAACGTTATCCGCTCTCCCAAGTGGATTTTGATAGAGTGAAAACGCCATTTATAATTGGTATCTGGATATTGTCGGCTAGTATAGCGAAAATTGGTGAGTACTTGAATATATGGCATGAAAGTAAGCCGACTTAATTTTATTTAAAATATTCGTTTGAGAATTCAATTTACATACATAAAATTAACTGCAGTAAACATTTTTAACAAAATAGTATAATTTTTTTTAATGAAAGAGAAGCACATTTCATGAAATTTTACCAAGTTCATAAATAATAATTAATATTCTTTAGACCATTGAATTCAATTAAAATGTGTTAACTACCTGATCACGTGGTTAACACTCGCGGAAAAAACTGGACGACTGGTGTTTTTTTTTACTATTTACAATGTTTTTTAAGCAAATTTTTTTGTTATTTTTTACTAAACCCGTATAAATCAAACTCTCAAACTTTATACAGAATTTAGAAAGATGCGTCAAATATTCATCAAAATTTTGAGATTTTTAATCAGAATTTTTATAAAAATAAATTTTTTTATTAAATTTTGGTAAAGTAGTTGCAGGTTTTGGGTGGTTAAATTTTTTTTCTTGGCGGCGTTTTCCAATTTTTTTCACATAAAATTTCTTGAATTCGAATTTTTAGCCGCTTAAACTTGCACTTATTTTACTAAAATTTGACAAGCCTTGTAACTGCATATTCAAAATTTTTATAAAAATTTTCTGATTAAAAAGTTCCAATTTTTTTAATCAAAAATAATAAAAAAATAGTTTGCAAAACTTTGTAAATATTAAAAAAAACACCATTTACCCTGTTTTGACGGTCACACAGTACTTCCCTTCCATATAAAATGTGGGCAAAAATAGAATTATAGACGGATTTAAATGAAAATTCGTTTCCTAGTAAAATTGGGGACGTTTAATTCAAAAATGTAGTTTGTTTTTAGATAACTTTGATACTTTCACTTTAAATGTAGTTTAAAGAAAATTTGGGTTCTTATGCCATTTACATAGCACTGTACATGTAGTTCGTTCTATTTTCAAAAAAAGAGGTGTCAAATTACAGGCCTTGGCCTGTAGATATGCAATAGAGTTTTATTATTTTAAAACGCGTTGCCACCTGTAACAAATTCTCACTAAAATTGACACAATTATTACTTTAGTTTAACTAAATTTCACTTTGCAAACATGTGGCAATCCTCTTCGTAATATTTGCAAGCTAAAACCTCCTTAAACCTCCTTCGTCTGATTTTTAAATAGGTGGCAACCCTATTTAGTTAAGAAATTAACCCTTTTCATGCACATTTCTCTCTTAATAAATCATTTAAATTATTAAAAAAATTTAATTAAATTTTTTAACAGGTCGCAACTCGTTAAAAAAAAATCTTTGTCTACAGATCAAGTTTTTCAATGTGGCACTTCACACTGACAAAAAATGATTTTATGCATTAGCAAATAACGCATTACTTCAAAAAGTCCAAAAAATTAGCTGGTATTTATTTCTTCTTTTGAAAGCCAAACATCCGTACTATTTAATAGAATAATAAAAGATAACATATTTTTACATATATTTTTGATTCATTTCATTAAAATTAACCATTTTTGTGAATCTTTTACTTAAAAAATTGTTTTTCTGGGATACCGCAGGGACACCCTGAGTTTAATTTTATTCCAAAATTTTTATTCCTGTAGTTTTATACTATCTATGTGGAAATAAATAAACATCAAACCAACATTTTATTTCAAAGAATGTATTTCTGACATTTATCTACGTGAGGAGTTTACTCTTATTAAAACTCTTAGTATAAAATTTTTCGACTCTAGTGACTTCCTGGCTGCATATAATTTATTTTATAGGGAAATTTCTGTTTACGTCTTTCTAGTGGATAAATTACCTTTACGAAAATACCAAACACGTTCACATTGCAGGCAACGAATTTCTAGATTTTTCACCCACTTAGGCAGCACTGTGCTTCAGTGTAGTTCTTCTTGTACAATTTGCCTTATCGAAAACAGGTGAAGTCTTGCGTGGCTAGCAGCAAACAAACTAGAAAACAACGCATAATAGTTTCAATATTTGTTTTCGCAATACATACATTCCGACAGTTGTACGCAGGCTTGAGGATTTGTGCCAAAATAATCAATTTGTTCGAACAGACAGCTTCGAACTTCAGCCAATAAGTGCTTTCAACTAAAACAATTTGATGTTTAGTTTAAAAGCTTTAATTTTTATATGCTCTTTCAATTTGAGCTTAGCATATATTTAGCGCCATTCCTAAGTATTTAATTGTCTACGATTTTTTTTTTATTTGTGAAATTCATCAACTATTGCTTGTAGTTGACGGATGATAAGCGTTCGTTTGCACCAACAGATGATACACAAATACCAGCTAATGCTTTACACAACTGGGAGGAATGCAAAAGTCTAGAATACTCGTGATAGGTTTGACCTAAACATATTTTATAGCTTATTTACTAATCGTTTTACTAACTTTTCAACACATTTTTTTCGAGCATTTTTTTCAAGTTTACTGCTTCTTCACACCAAAAAAAGTATCCGTACAAAACAATGTTTGTTTAAACTAAACATATTTTTGGTAGAATATAGCCGGGTTCAGTAACTTGTGGGTTTTCATTTACGCAGTTCGGTTTAGTTCTGACAAATCCTGCACTCCAAAAAAATCGTACAAATGCTCAAGGTCGGGATTTTGTTTTACTGAGCGCAATGTTGCAGCGAATATTATCCGACGACATACCTCCGTCCGACGAAATTCGTTCACCGATTTGGTTCTGTCTATATCTGATTTAACTGATAAATCATTTAGTTCAGTGACTTCAGTGATCATTTCGTTTTCTGTCGCAGAAAGGGCGCGTAAATTGCTTTTTTTTAGGGTAAACTTTGAGACTTAGATTTTACAGACATATCTGATACTACTACTCCGTAGAACCTGGGCTCGATCTGTGGTTTTTTCTAACAGCGGTCGCCCGTCAGCTGGCAATGGCAAACCTCCGAATGTATTTCTGGCGTGAAAAAGCTTGGCTTAAAGCTATATGTAGGTCCCTCAATTTGTGTTAGAACGTCAAGACGCACACCAAAACTTGAAGGAGAAGCTCGGCCAAACACTTAGCAAAAGTGTAAGCGCCAAATATTACTACATACTATTAACTTGCATTTTCGGAGTCGAAGTTTAGTTTAGAGTAAAAAACAAATGCTTTTCACAAGCTTAATATAAATTGGCCAAATATAGAATCGTTGAGAAAAAGGGTTAATTTTTTAAATTACGAAAATGCTCGAAAAGCGCTAGAATTGTTTTATTTTCTTTAATCAAAAACTCAAATTATATTCTTATGTTTGGCATAATGGGAAGTATTGGTTGATATCTTCTAAAAATTTTTTTTTGCGGTCTTAAAATATAATAAATTTTATAATTTCGTTTGGAAACTCGAAATTTTTTTTTGGTGAGACACCCTAATGTATGTACATATGTGCTTAAGTTTTTAGCTTGAATGCATTCTTAATAATTCACGTTTAAATTTGGCGGTACTGGACTGAACCTTTTTTCTTAACATTGATTGGCAGAATTACGTTACGGCGATGGATTCAGATTAAAATTGATTAAACCATTTTTGCGAGCCATGCGCAAAAAAAAATTAACTAAATCGCTTCAAATGATGCGTGGCTTACGATGATTAGAAAGACCTTGGCATGCCTAAAAATAGGCTAAAATTTATTTCTTAATGCCCGTCTTGCGTGTTTGTGGAATTGCAGTTTTTATAGTTTTTTTTTTGTTGCTAAAATTTATTGATGGAAAGCGGCATATCGATACTGGAAACGGAAATTATAACATCGACGCGTAAACAACGCGTTAGTAACCGAAAAGTGACTAAGCGTAGATACATATTTACATATGTATTTGTATGACTACAAATAACTCCTATCTAAGCAAAAAAAGGGAAATTCAACAAATGCAGTAGACCCCTTTGCCAATTTTCTCGTACATAAGTATATGCATATAATATATGGGGCATTCCATACCAAAATGGACGGGGTTCACATAAATCTATCTATATATATAAATGTGAATGTCTGTTTGTTTATTACCTTATAACTTTTGAACCACGACACGGAATTTTGTGCACACTTATTTGTTTTTACCCCGCGGGAGGTTATAGGCATGGTTTTATATGGGGGCGTGGCACATAATATAGGCGTTGAATTTCTTATCAGCCATAACTTCGGAACCACAAGTCCCATGCCCCCTTTACTTCCTTTTGATACGCTTTTCAAATTTAAAAGACTTCAGTTTCCAGTTCGCTTAGCTTTTGCAATGACAATAAACAAGAATTCCTTAAAGCAAAACCCAAAACTTCATCCAAAATAAAATGTATGATAATTGCATTGGAAAAAGCAGTTATGTTAATAGATGCTTTGAAGTATTAAAAACATGCTGTGAAATAATTTGAGAGTTATTATTCGTAAGAAATTAGATAGTTAAAATTAAGATATCACAACATTGGTATTTCTTTTATTTCATAATTTGTTGGAGATATTTCAACCTAAATAAAACACCTACTGTGCCAAAAATTATTATCCATTCCATAACACCCAAGCCAAAAAACCTATCATATTCTGCTATCACGGTTGTAGTAAAATTAGAGCAGAAATAAAATATAATATCTTTACATAAAGTATTTTTCATATTTGTATAAAGACGTGGGGTTAAACCTGCGTGTAAAAGCTAGTAATAAATAAATATGAAATTTGAGATTGATTCATGAATTTTTAAAAACTTTACAGCACAAAAACAAAGCAAATCAATTTAATAGTTTTCTAAATAGCTCGAGAACGGGGCGAGGAAAAAAATAAAAAACATCACACATACACATATCACATACAAATTTTTTGATAAAATTTTTTTTTTTTAAATATGCCATCTCAAAAAAATTAGTAAATTTGTAATGTACTCATTTTGCTCAACTTCGGTGTAAAAAAAATTTATAACTCAAATTAAATATTGCGCAATACTCAGAGCTACTATTGCGTTTTTTTCCTTTTTTTTTTTGAGATGGCATATCTTGAATAACTATTTTTTTTTATA